TTTCCAACTCCTTCCAACTTTTTCCAACTCCTTCCAGTTTCTTCAAACATCCAACTCTGAAATTCCAAGCCAAAAGAACAGAGCCTATGTATAGTTTGCTTGGTGACATTTTGCTTCTTTGACCTTCTGGGTTTTGTTTTTTTCTATGTTGATTAAATTAGTTGATGATTTGAGTAAGAGTGTACAACATTCGATTTTTCAAACTGGATTGTATTCATTTAATGGTTAGATCCAACGTCTTACAATTTTCTAAGTATTTCATTGGTTCTCTACTCTCTTGCAAGCTATTAATTCTGTTGATCCTATCTTGTTCTATTTCCAGCATGTCTGCGGAAATGGTGGCGTGCATTGCTGTGGAGTCTTTGTCTATCTTAGAGAAGCTGCATGCAAAAGGGTATTATGCTTACTATCTGGTGATTCATTTTTCATGCAGCCAATGCATGGGCCTTTGTATATATCATCACTTCTTTCTAATGATAATCGTTATCGTAGTTATGTACATGGTGATGTAAAGCCTGAGAACTTCCTTCTTGGCCAACCATCTACCCCAGAAGAGAAGAAGTTGTTCCTTGTTGACTTGGGATTAGGTAAAAAGATCTAGTTTTGTATTGTCTATTTTAAGCTATTTGTTTCATATATGTTATCATAAATTTAAAATTGCAGCAACAAAATGGAAAGATAATTCAAGGGGTCATGTCAAATATGATCAGCGCCCTGATATGTTTAGGTGAGGTAATCTACTGTTCAAAACACTCAATTTACATCCATTCTGTTTTCTTTGCCATTGATGTATTCTGGATAATATGAAGAGGGACTGTACGATATGCAAGTGTACATGCTCACCTAGGTAGAACTGCTAGTAGAAGGGATGATTTGGAGTCATTAGCATATACCCTCGTTTTTCTTCATCGAGGCAGGCTGCCGTGGCAAGGGTATCAGGTGTGTCTCATCATCTTTCTTTATATGATGTCTAATATTCTAATTTATGAGACATTTAAAAAAAATTCACATGCAACTCTTACTTCACAAGTTATCCCCTGGACATGATAGGGAGACAATAAGTCATTTCTGGTATGCAAGAAAAAGATGGCAACATCTCCTGAGTTGCTTTGCTGCTTTTGCCCTGAACCTCTGAAAGATTTTTTCGACACTGTGATAAACATGAAATTTGATGAAGAACCCAAGTACTCTAAGTTAATATCTCTTTTTATGGGATTGATTGGACCTGATCCTACCATAAGGCCCTTGAACACGGATGGTGCTCAAAAGGTTTAGTTTTGTCTTTTGCTTCTAGCCATCCAGCATACCTGTTTACTAGTTATTGTGATCTCACTATATTGTATTTGTAGGTTATTCAAGTTGGTCAAAAGCGGACAAGATTGTCTCGTGATGAAGAAGAGCCACCACAGAAGAAAGTTCGAATGGGGCTTCCTGCAACCCAGTGGATTTCAATTTACAATGCAAGGGTGCCCATGAAACAAAGGTTAATATTTCTTAAAAACCACATAATATTTTCTTACTAATTGAGTATTTTCAGTTGAAAATTTATATTGCCAATCGACGTAATCTGGAGTGCCCCATAGTATGTCAGAAACTGGTATTCACTCAATTTGGTGACTCATGATGATGGGCTCAATTCGATTTCTGTAGTGAGATGTTATTTTTCACTATGCCTTCTTATTTCCGCTTTTTAATGCATAGCTTGTCTAAATTATATTTTAGGTACCATTATAATGTTGCAGATGAAAGATTATCGCAGCACATAGAGAAAGGGCGCTTAGATGGATTATATATCAGTTGTTTAGCTTCATGCTCCAACTTATGGGCAATTATCATGGATGCTGGAACTAAGTTTTCAAGCCAAGTTTATGAGCTACATCCCTTTTTCTTACACAAGGCAAGCATGACGTTTGTAGTCCTGTACATTTCAGCTGTACAAATCTTAACTATGAATATCATTGTGTACTTTTGAATAGGACTGGATTATGGAACAATGGGAGAAAGGCTTTTATATCAGTTCCCTTGCTGGTGGTAGTAGTGGGAGCTCACTTGTGGTAATGTCAAAAGGTTGTTTTTTCCTGATACCACTTTTTGCTTGTGTTTGCATACTAATGATTTGTTTACATCGAGATTATCTTGATTAACATTCATCATCTACATTGGGGCTGGTGCCATGAAATTTATTGTGTCGATCAATTATTACCCCCTTAGTATAATAGTATTTGAAAGCAAATTCTATCTTTCTACAGGGTGGTGTAAGAGTGCTTTAGTTAATAGCAATAAAGAAGCAACAAGGGTGGAAATCACAAGATTAGTGGATCATATTTCCATTTAGATGCTACTCTATGCTTGTTTGGACTTTAAACTGTTTCTTATTAGCTAGAAGATCAATCTCAATGTTAATGAACCACATGTCTGTATAGATGCTTTGTTAGAGTGCATGCTCTTTCGATCTTCTACACATGCTTCAATATAATTATGCATTTTTTGCATGAGTTAATAGGGTTGACTAATTTTAGGAATTAATTAATTGAAACTATGAATTTTATGCCCTCAACCTCAACATAGTCGGGATTGAGATTTGAGGCAATGATGATTATGGGGACACATCTTTGATGATTTTTTCCTGGCATCTTCATATTTATTCATTGGACTTAGATGCTGCGATTGTATTGCCCACATTCTCTAATCACATAACATTGAAACAGTGCTTAATTTTAGTAGCTCCTTAAACCCACTCATATCATACAACTGGAAACTTTTTCAGGCACTCAGTATTCCCAACAGTCCTACAAAGTGAGTGACTTCTTTCCATTCAAGTGGATAAGTAAAAAGTGGAAGGAAGGGTTTCATGTGACCTCTATGGCCACTGCTGGTAGCAAGTGGGCTGTTGTGATGTCTCGCAATTCAGGCTTTAGTGACCAGGTGGTTCTTTTATCTCTGGGCACATGTTTTGTTATTGTACCAGTTAAATAATTTTATGTTATAATTTATGTCTTGTATATAGGCTATAGAGCTTGATTTTCTCTATCCAAGTGAAGGCATTCACAAAAGGTGGGACACCGGTTTCCGAATTACATCAACTGCTGCTACTTTGGACCAGGCTGCACTTATCTTGAGTGTGCCAAGGCGCAAACTTGGTGACGAGACTCAAGAAACTCTGCGTACATCTCAGTTTCCTAGCACACATATCAAGGTAGTTTATTAATTTATTTCTGGCTTTTTGGTACATTTTGTCTGGATGCCATAAAGCCTATACTCTAAACAAAGTTCGATTATAGAAAAAGAACTTTTGTACTCCCTCCGTCCCTCAGTATTTGTCCAGTATTCCTTTTTGGGCTGTCCCGGAGTATTTGTCCACTTTCCTTTTAAGGAAACATAAATGAGATAAAAACCTATTAAACCCTCTCTTATTTCTCTAGCCATCAGCATAATCCCAAATGGGAATCTGAAAGGATGTTTGTCCCTTCCATCCCAAGTGAAGGTGGAATTTGGTGCTATGAAGGAGCTTTCCCTCCCGTCTCTCTCTCACCTTGTCAAGCGCCGCCCCAGAATCGAAGCATTAAACGACAGATGAATCTCTTCTCCGAGCCAGAGCAGGATGTTTACTCCGATGACGCCGTGAGCTCGATGGCAGTTAGATGTCTTACATGGCTGGATACCTTCTCCAAATTGTGATGCCTGAGATGAGTCCTCTAATTTCTTGTCATTGACAGATTTGCCTCTTTCCTCTTCTGATTTCTCTCTGACTCTAGTTTATAAAGAAATGAAGAAGACTAAGCACGATAGATCTGGATTGGTGTTGGAGTGTCAGGCAATGGGCCAACGAGGTTGAAGCCATGAAGGGAATCGGACGGCGAGGTTTGGGCGGAGGAGGGAATGGGCGGCGAAGGGATTGGATAGGCGACATTGGGGTAGCGGGGGGAATGGATTGGGAAGGGCAACTCAAGTGGTAGATATGTCACTTTGCTCTCCACTTTGGTTTTTGTGTCAAAACCAAAGTGGACAAAAACTGGGGGACGGAGGGAGTATTGTTCCCAACTAAGATTGCCATTCACTCATTAGTGGATGTGCATAAATAAACCAATGAAGACTCAAAACAGAATCCTACACAGAATTTACTTGTGAACTAGAGGCACGAAAATGGATGTTGTACATTCAGTCACTCTTGTAGCACACTATGGATAATTGACTGATGGGGTATTTTGTTATCGGTGCAGGATAAATGGGCAAAGAATCTCTATCTTTCTTGTGTGTGCTATGGGCGAACAGTGAGCTAAGTATGTTCTCTGCAAGATCTGCTTTGCCTTTTTTGGCTTTTGTCAATTTTTAAAGAGCAGGGGTTCAAATGTCTCTAAATTGCTTCACGAGAGCGGAAGGATGGAGCGGCATTTTGAGGCATATCAGCCCTTATATGTGTTAAACAAAACAGAGAAGCTAGTAGCTCTTTTGATGGAAGATTTTCAAACATAGCTATCATTTGTGTTTTTCTTTTTCTTCTCCGAAAGGGGTTTGATGAAAGATGAAATTTGGCATACTGCAAAAGTTTAGCACTATGTTCGGTTAAAAAAATTGGAGGGAAAAAGAAAAGAAAATGATTTAGAAATAAAAAACTTTTGTTTGGTTAGAAGTAGAAAGAAGATAAAATGTAAAGAGAAAATAAACAAATTGGAAAATATTCTTTTTATTTTGGCCAGGAAAATAAGATAAATAATTATCTTTTTTCTTTTTTCTTTTCCTTATGAATACCACAAACTAAACATAGCGTAGGGGGAGAGGATTTGATTTCCAACATGTCTATAATACCTTCGGTCCCAATATGGCATGAGTTTTAAAAATAAAAGAGACTTGGGATGAGGTCGATAATACCTTCGGTGATATGGCATGAGTTCTAAATGTCTTTCCTCGTTCGTATGAAAGAATTTTCAACATCACTGTTCTCTCTAAATTATAGCGACAGCTAAAGCACTAAGCCCATGTAATCCAATAAGCTACGGCTAGCTGTTGTTGCGAATGACTAGGGCAGTTAAACACTCGGCACATGCCATCTACATGGTTAAGTGTTGTTGGGAATCTTAGGCTGAAGGGTATGGATCTCTTCTCCCGTCTCTTGCACTTGCCACATCTGCCATGTCAATAAACTTAGTCTGCTCTCCTGGTGGGGTGTGGCTGCAGTCCATGCCAAACGGGAAGAAGAGTGGGCCTTTGATCTGGCATTTAGACCTTAGGTTCACGAGTGATTGTATGGTAGATTTATGATCCATATGGAAATGCTTATTTAGTATGTATGAAGGTCCATTATGTAATTTGCCTAGGTTCAACATAACAATATCTTAGAGTGAGATTTGACATGTCCGCTTCTTCTTTTTATAGTTTCTCACTTTGTTTGCTTGCTTTTACAATTCATTTTATAAAATAATATAATCATGTCATTTTTTGTATTGTAAATAAAAATCACTCCTAATAAGACTAAAATATTGTGCTAAACCCTAAAATAGAAGTTCAAGTTTTTTATCCCCCAAACAGGACCTCTCCCGCCACATTCTTTCTTTCTCTCTGGATTTTGCCCTCCTTTCCTTTCCGCGTTATACTTCACCATCCTTCCCCATCCTTCCGATCGTTCCCCACCACTCTTCAACTTTCTCTTTAATTTTGTCTTCCACTCTTCGTTTTGCTGTTATCGAACTGCTCAAGCTCTTTACTTCGCCGTTCCGCATCTTGGATTCGTGTTGTACTTGTCCGTTTGTGGAAATCGCTGAAGCCGGACCCCAATCTGGTACATGATTTTTGATTTCATGATAAAAATCATCGGTCATGCTTGTGATTGTCTAATTTTTATCCTTAATGTACATGGTTTTGGAGATTCATGAGTGATCTTGTTCACGGATTTTAGTCTTGTTCTATATTTTTTTCAATAGTATTTACTATTTAATCATCTGTTTTAACCAAATTGTAACCATTAGTTTATCGGAAGTATCTCCCACTTATTGCGTTTTACTTTGTGTAGTTGTGTGTGTTTGGATTATGGTGTATGTTGATGGAAGCTGGGGAAGTAATAATATGTTCAATCCAAAGTATATAATTGGATTACCAATTTCCCAGGCTAGCTCATTTGTGGATGTAATGTCTCACCTTAGAGGTGTTATTTGCAAGGGTGACAATAGTGTGGGTTTTCAGATTACTTATTTTGTTGGATCAATTCTTCCACCGGCTGAGATTAATTATGAAAGTAGCTTCCAATTTTATATTGATTTGAAATCAATTGATCGTGACTTCTCAAAGCTCCCAATCTATATTGAATTTGTCCATACAATCACCCCTGTTCAAGCACCCTTGCCACTTTGTCATGATAATGCATGCCATGCTTTGATGGAAAATCTGTCGCACTTACCCATCAGCTTAAGTGATACTGTGTCATGTTCAAGTCACAGTTCACGTGATTATTCAGACTATAAAAGTGCGCGAGGTAGTGAAGTTATTCAAATGGAGGATCCAGTGCCTTTCCATATTGTGATAGTTCAACAAGATCTGAACACTATGCAATCATACAATGCATGTGCTGAACCCAAAATCATTTTGTTGATGTGTAGGTTTGATTCCTCTCATTCATGCTCTGTTGATCTATGCGAAGGTGACCATAGACAAGCTACATCCACATTGCTATCAGATCTTGTTCTGCATCACTATATAGATGCCTCTAAAAAACCATATGGACCTAATGATATACGAGAAGACATGAGGAGAGATTATGGTATTTCTGTCATATAAGAAGGCATTGAGTGTAAAAAATAAAGCAATGAGCAAATTGTATGGAGCTGATGATGATTCTTACCAGTTACTGCCAGCAATGTGTCATGTATTGGCCCAAAAAAATCCAGGATCTGTTATATCTCTCAGAACCAATGAAAATGACCAGTTTAAGAGTATGTTTTTCTCGCTATGTGCCTGAAGACAAGCTTGGATTCACTGCTTTACAATTCTAATTGTAGATGGTACATTCCTGAAGGCATATTTTCATGGTACATTATTGACCGCCTGCACGCAAGATGCAAACCGGCAGATTGTCCCATTGGCTTTTGGCATTTGTGACACTGAGAGTAAGGAGACCTGGTTGTGGTTTTTAATCAATGTGAAACGTGCACTAACTGAACGTAGTAACCTCTACATTATATCTGACCGTCATGAGTGCATTCTATATGCTGTTGAACAAGTGTTCACCTCCGTTTCTCACGGGTATTGTTCTGGGCACATACTTCGCAATCTCAAATCCAAATTTAGAGGGAAATCAGAGGTGATTCGGTGGAAATTTAAAGGTGCTGCTCGCGCAGCTACCGTCAAGGAATTCGAAGAGTATCTTCAACTGCAGGATGATGAAGATCCTCGAATAAGGGAATACCTCAACAAAATTGGGAATTCAAAGTGGTCTAGATGCCATAGCGACAAATCTCATTATTCTAGTATGACATCAAATCTCGCTGAGTCATTGAATAATGTGAATAATAGTGCTAAGGAGTTTCCTGTTGCAAAGCTTGTTGAATTCATTCGTGATAAGATGCAACTGTGGTTTCATGAAGGTCAGAAATTGCTAGTTCCACTCGCACCCCTCTTCCTAAAAAACATGAGGCTGTCCTAATTCAAATGCAACGTGAAGCATTTCGTATGAAGGTATGCTTTTTAGAAATTAGTCATTCTTTTATCATTGCTTATGGAAAGTGATGTGTACGTTCTTTCCATTCTATATTTTTGTATAAAACACAACATACTTGTTTGGGCACCATAGGCCTTCTATTTATTTCTTTGATATTGTGGCAATCTACATTACAGCTCTTTGTAATATTCATTACCACATTACATACTATGACACTTTACATTACAAGTGTTCGTAATGTAAAGTTTAAGTTTTTTATTACCCAGTTAGTACTCCCTGCTTTCTTTTCGTTCTTTTGTCTATTCTTCTTACTAATGAGCGTCACAATTCACCATCTTTCACAATCCTTCTTCATCTACATTACAACTCTTTGTAATACTCATTACCACATTACATACTGTGACACTTTACATTACAATTCTTCGTAATATTAACCACTGAATATTTTAATGTAGGTAAAGCCATCATGTCCATATGAGTTTAAAGTTATTGATTTTCATTCGTGCTCTTACGTGGTCAATTTAAAGGACAAAACATGCACATGTTATGAATTCCAACTTGATCAATTTGTTTGCGTTCATGTTGTGGCCGCTATTGGGAGACGTTTCGGCTTATCTTGTTATGATTTTATCTCTCCTTTCTACAAAATTGAGGCATTAGTAGGTACATATGTTGGTATAATCCACCCAATTGGTGATGTGTCTTCATGGGATGTTCCTCAACAGACTTTGTCAATAATTTGCAAACCACCACCTTGTGACAAACGCCCTCCAGGAAGGCCTAAGAAGAGGCGCTACCTGTCTATTGGAGAGGGCTATCACGGACAGCGTCATGGAAAACATAAGTGTTCACGCTGCAAATTGTATGACCATAACAAGAAGTCATGTAGAAATCCTATTCCATCAGTGGAAGATCCAAAGAATATTTGATATCACTTTATGTTCCATTACACAACTCTTTTTAGTATGGTTTAATTGTGTTAAAATTGCTTTGTACTAAGAGGTAATGTACTTTTAAAATGTCCTTCCATCTTGACACTTTTATTTCATAATTTTGTTTCATCTGAATTAGCATTGTCATTCAACGCTATGTACAGTGCCACACATCGGCATATACATGACCAACTTCAGAGACTCTTATAAATTGCTGTGTAACTGAGAAAACTAAAACTTCATATTGCAAATGGCCACGTTATGTCAGCTATGATGCAACAAAACTTCTTTTTTAAAAAAGCACTTAATAGCATCAACCATAGCTCAAAACATTCATGACCAAGTGACAATCTTTGTCATGTAACATACTTGTCTTGTAGTATACAAAAAAACAATTCAAGACCCTGAGTTTCACAGCATAAACCTAAACATTACCACAAAACATTTCAATGGCTGATCATAAACTAGTTTTGTGTTTCACCACTGATTTTCAAACTGCTTTTTTGAATTAGCATACTTGTACAACTCTATGGCCATCTTCACTCTATAAGTAGCCATGTCTTCCGTGCACACCTGGTTGATTTTTCTTTCCACCATTAGATATTCTGCAATCTTCAACACAAATATGCCACAGTTCCCCTACACAAGTTTGAGAACAATTAGTAATCGATGTATATACATTTGATAAAGACTTAAATGTGCATGCTTGTTAATGTTTCACTTGTAGTTAAAACTTATTGATCTGTTTGTTGTGGACAATTTAGAACATCATTTATCCGGATTTCCTGATTTCCCATTGGTCCAGTAGGGTGCTTTTTATAGACACCACATGCATCCAGTAACTTAGGAAGTAGGTGTTTGATGCACGGGATGTAACACTACAAAAAAACACCAAAAGGATGACGGAAATTGGCGACGGAAATGTTTCCGTCGTTAATAGCAACGGAAACAGTGACGGATTGAAGATGCCTACCACACTTAACGACGGAACTTAAAATCCGTCGTTAAGAAGAAGCGGGAAGAGCCATGCGCCTCTTTTGACGACCGAAATTGCGACGGAAACAAACCGTCGCTAGTTTGGCGACGGAAAAAAACCGTCGCATAAAATAATTTTATTTAAACGCTACAGTTTTGCTCCAAACGCTGCCGTTTTGTTCAGCGACGGAATATATCCGTCGCTAGATTCCGTCGCCCACGAATAAAACTTAAAACTGGTCTCATTGAATGTCTTTGAGTCCGTTTGACTTCCCTCTCATTGAATTATACACCCATATCGTCTTCCCTTCAATATCTAATACTAGCAAAATCCAATGTCTACCAGTATTCAAGGGTATGTACACAAAATCTATGACTGCCCACTTAATTGCACACCTTCTTACTTAACCCAATATCTCACTTGTTAGGTTTTTAATACTGCGAACATTGCACGCAGTTCTAACTTTTGCATCAACTTTGTCCTAGTGTTTCTTTAGCACATCCATGAAGAACGGTGTTGTTGTTCCATACTTTTGGTTAAGCTTGTAGTGGAACCTTTTCACTTCCAAATAGAACATTCCAACCTCAATGTACTTTAACAAATAATGAAAACATGCATGATGTTAGTTTTATCAAAATCATCATAAAAATGTTATATATTTTTTTTTATCAATGTTCCCAACCACTCTTGATCAATAAACAAATCATACAGCCATGTCTTGTTATTCACAGTCTGCACGTCCAGAATTAGAGGATTATTCTCCAAGTTGTCCTCTTCCTTTGTGTACATTCTTCTCCCTCCTGATTTTGGAATCCACTTCAACATTCCTTTCTCCAAATATGTTTTCAACCTATAAATGTCATCCTGCGGAGGCATTTCTTTGGGCTCCAGTGCAAACAGTCCAATAATGACCTCCATCTGGCTTAATGTCACTTCGTCTGACCTCAACATAGGTTCCTCCATTTTTTGTTTCTTTTTTTTCATGCTTTCCTCCATAGAGTGTTAGCCTATCGGGCCCCTTTTTTATTCTTCTTGGTCTACAGATCTGCACACAAGAGATAATATTTACTGTGTTGGTTAAAGAAGTCTACTACACATGTGCTAAAAGAGCTCATAAAACATTGTACAAATTAGTTACTCATCATAAGTCCATTTTTAATGCATTTTCAATGTCGTCGTTGACCATTTGGGGTTTAGTGTCATCTGCCATTTCAGCATGTATCACACCACCCACATGATTGACCCCAACTTCATCTGCCATCACAACATCTTCTTTTTTCCAACACCCTGCACATGTACATTTTGACAATCACTAATTAAGATGTTATCAAATTTCTTAAAAATAATGTAAAGTTAAAGTACATATACCTCTTTCTCATTCTGTTTGGATTCCACAGTATTTCTCTCTATAACATCCAACTCAGCTAGTACATCTTCATCATATTGTGTCTCAGCCAATTCAAATTTATACCCATCCACACACATGCTCTCTTTTTCAACAACTTCTTTTTCACTCTTATTAAGTTCAATATTTTTGTCATTCTCTTCTCTATTTGTACTCTTTTTTTCCATGTTTGATTCTAACTTTGCTTCATTTCCATTTTCACTCTTATCTCCGGATTCTTCCACGCCTTTTGATAACTCAATTTGTGTGCCCTCCACATGACCATAACACTTCTCAAATCCAGCTTGTGTACCATATAATCATCCACATGTCTATCCAACATATCAAGAATCTTCTGAAGCATCTGACCATGTTTCACTTGCAACTTCTTAACTTCAATTCCCTTATTTCATTCTCAATGGCTGTATACTTTTCTTTTTTATCTCTACGGAGGCTCTTTCTCCCTCCCAGGGAGCCCTTCAATTCGAACCATTTCCTCATCTTCATCAATCTGGTTTTTTTCATTTTTTAGGTGCCACTCCTTTCTTCTGCTTTTTGTTTTTAAATGAAAACTTTTTTGCTGCAGATGGCTGTTGATCTGAGGGTCCCATGACACTCTGACCACTGTCGCTTTTCGGTGAAAAGAACTCTAGCTTTTGATCCTGAATCTCCTTATCCGTCGGAATGATTGTAATCATCTGAAACTGTGAAAAAAAGAATATAATGAGTAGCCACAGAATTAGTTTTCAAAAAAAAAACAACACTATTAATTTTAAAAATATATGTAACTTACCTCGGGATTTTTAAAAATGGCCTCATTTAGATACTGAGTCGGTATTTTTGTATACACCTCCCACTTAAGACAACGAGGGATACAACTTTCTCTTCCTTTTACAATGCCACATAGAGTACCATCACTCAGAGCTGGAAATGTCTCGAAAGGCCATATTTGTAGGGCAAACACATAGCCCCCAAACGTCATTCTTCCTCTATCACGTACTTTTATGCTCTGTGAACACCTCCAAGCATGGTTTAATAAATCCTCCCAGACATCTTCTCTCCATGAATATTCATTAAACGCATCTAAATTGTCTAAAAGCTTAACAAGTGATTAGACCATATGATAGAACAATCAATGCTGAAAACACAAATTTTCACAGAATGAATCCCATGTGTCCACATGTCCACAAGACAAGTGATTAAACCATATGAACAACCAAGGACTTGATTTTGAAACACAAATTTCCTTTGTAATTTAATGCACATGACCACAAGAGCTCTAACCACATGACCACTATAATTTTTTACCGTATGCAATACCAAAACCACTTTCACAATGTCACAATCTATTTGAATACTTAACAAATATGTAACTAGGGTTAACAACACCATCTAAAATACAAAATACAACTTTGATTTCCAAATGCATGTGAAATCTTACTCAAAACTTTCTCCTTATGACAAATATTATCCAAAATCAACCCAGCTTTGATTTCCAAATGTTTTTCAATGTATTTTGAGTCAACAACACATACCTTTTTCTTCTTCGATTCTATCAATGTCTTCGGCCTCTGGTCTTCAAAATCATCGTCCGCCATTTTCCTCGCTCTCTTCTTCTGCTGGTGCTCTATCCGACCATAATCTTATTCGCCGCCTTCGATTTTTGTGTCTTATCCAAAATCAACCCAGCTTTGATTTCCAAATGTTTTTCAGTGCATTTCGAGTCAACAACACATACCTTTTTCTTCTTCGATTCTGTCAATGTCTTTGGCCTGTGGTCTTCAAAATCATCGCCCTCCATTTTCCTCGCACTCTTCTTCTGCTGGTGCTCTATCCGACCATAATCTTTTCTGGTGCCTTCGATTTTTGTGTGTTTTTATGGTAAGATTCTTTAGCGCAGACCTAGAAAATTTACGAGGCGACATAGATTAGAGGGAGGGTATTTTGGGGATGGCGACGTAAATTAAGGATTATTTGGAGAATTTATGTTTTGGACTCGTATTTAGGTAAATTTGATATGTTTTAGTCCTATTTAAGTTTTTTTCTCTATGATATTTAACTTAAATGACTTTTAAATCAATTTATTTGATAATAAGTGTAAAATTTAAAAATAAAACTCATATATTTAAAAACTACATCAAAGGTTCTACAAAGCTAGATGTGATTTGACTATATATTTTATCAAATGACTAATGAAAATAGACAATGAATGTAATTAAAATTTGATCACATGAATAGTAACTGAGAAGAAATTTTTTGAACGGAGGGAGCTTATTATTATATAATATTTAAATGGTGTGAGTTTTAAACTTGTCAGAACAAGTTCCATTATACCTGATCCTTTATTTGAAATAGATAACAGGTACAATTTCGAGAAAGGGTAAATTGTTTTTAATAGGCCCTAAATCGCTAATAGGATACGGGTTTTATTCGGGTTTGGATTTTAACCTCGCCCATTGATAAAAAAGAATAGATTAAGAGTAAATTATTTCAATTTTGAGTACAAGGTCTAATTTGCACATTTTTAGATATAGAAACCTTGACAATATTTTATCCAAAATTGCACATATCAAATGTCAAAAGAATTCTTTCATCTCATAAAAAGGTTCTACTTTTTTTTGTCAAAAATAAAGTTTCACTTTCCTTTAAAAAAATGATCCTAAGATTTGCATTATTTTTCTCTGATTTACATAATTTTCAATCGTTCAATTTCACTTCTTAATAATTATGCGCAATTAAATGTATAACCTTAATTCGAGACGGAGAGAGAACGATATTATCCCTTCCCATTTCTTTGATGGATAGTGAGGATAAATTTTTACATGCATTTAATGTTCATATATTGAGAAAATTTATGGTGAATCTAATTAAATACTGATACTAAAATTTCTCAAAAATTGCCGCATGCAATGATGGCTATAAGCGCCACAACACATGGCCAAAAACAAAACCAATTAAGATTCTACAAAGGCGCCCTGCTATCAGAGTTTGTAGCGAAGTACACACTCCCTATTCTCTAGTAGCAATGGCGGCATCCTTAGTTCTTCTGGATCAATGAAGCACAAATCAAAGAAATGATGAGGATGATGGGCAAAAACGAGTTCTGTAGGACGAGGGACAACTTTAAGCTATTCACCGAAATGCGTGACAAAAGTGATCGAAAACACAGCCAAAGTGCACACAGAAGTAGTAGTAGTGGTGGTAGTGGAAAACCACATAAGAGGCAGCGGAAATCCCATGAAATGTGTAGAAGACAAGAGATAACAAGCAAACCACAGAACTCTGCATTGCCAACCACACCTGCCTCATGGAGGATTTATTAGCTTTGAATGTGTCACCCCTGTAATCACTCACTGTACGTAAAGAATAAAAGGTCTAGCCCTTTTTTTTATAACACTTGCCCTCACAATTCTCATCTACTTATATTGTTTCCGTAGCGAAAGGACCACATTAAGAGCTAAATGTAGGTTTAATTTTGTAATATCAATAGAAAGAAAATAAGAGGGTAACTCATAATTCAATACAGAGAACAATTATCAGGACTACCGAAACTGATCACCTCAGATGTAAGACCCTAAAAAACTTCAAATAAAGGGAAAAAAAGCTAAGTAATAATATAACCGAAGAAACCATAGTGAAGTTAGTACAAGAAACTGACCCAATAAATGATAATCAGTAGTCCTTCCAGGTTTCAATTGTCTACATTCATGAAATAGTTTAAAAGCAAGGAGTAGACATGATGAAGTTCAGGGTGGCCCTTCTTACTCTCTTGTAATATCAATGCCTTTTCGAAACTCAAAAGCAGGATGATGAACGTGGAGCTTTTTCATCAACGGTGACAACTGCCGAGAGATCTCTTCTCAGGTTCCGATTCTTAGCACGGTCGGCAGTCGAGACAATTTTGGAAACTGAAAACCCCGCAACTTCAAAATCATGTGCTCGGTAAGGAAGCAACGAGTTGCGAAGAACAACCTCAACGCCATCATACGTCCAGACTCCTAAACAAGCCTCTCCTTTAAGTCCAACGGCAAACCAACCAAGGCCCGAGGCAGCAATATCCACAGAACTAAAATCCCATGCATTGCCACTCACACTGAATTCCTTTTTTACCCACTCACCCAGCTTGGCAACACGATCTCTTCCAATTGGTGGCTGAAAAAAATGGATCGAAGTGAGGAAAATACAACATGCATTGTTCATATTCTTTGGGATGCATGGCAAATCATAATAATAATAATAATAATAACAACAACAACAATAATCATAATCATAATCATAATCACAATCACAATCACAACCATAAACTTGAAATATTCGGAAAATGGAAAACAAAATGGAAAACAAAATGGCTGAGTTAGCCTTTGGAAAAGGCACATATAATACTTAAGTTTTTAACAGCAAAAAGATGGTTATTTAACGAAATGGCTGGGTTAGCCTTTGGGTAAGGCACAAATTATACTGAAGTTATTAACAGCAAACATGGATCCTAATTTTTACTTCACAAGTGGTGCGGGGAGGCGTGGGGACTTTTTGAAGGTTCCGGGAGGTGTAGAAGATTGGTTGGCAGGTTGAATTACCTAAGAGTAATGCATCCAAACATCTCATATGCAATTACTCCAGTTTGTGTTGTAAGTTAATAGCTCATCTCTAAACAGTGATAATTGTGTGCTTTTGAAGGAATCACCAATGATATCCATCATGGAATTAGACTGGTTTGTGAATGCTGGGTAGACTAAAGATGACCGACATTCTACAACTAGTTAAATGTGTCCTTTTGGTGGAAATCAGATGTCATAAAAATAAAAACAAGACATCTTGATCGATTACAAAAGTATGTCATCATGTGATGACACAATCTGAATGTGAACAACAACAACAACAACAACCCAGTTAAATCCCACAAGAGTAGGGTCTGGGGAGGGTGTGTGTACGCAGACCTTGCCCCTACTCGAAAGTAGAGAGGCTGTTTCCAAAGAGACCCCCGGCTCAACGTCGAAAGTTGCATTGCTTGACTAACTGCTACTTCATTAATTAAAGAAGCGCAGACAGTTTAGAGATCCATTTTGATTTATTCCATCACACCCCAAAGCCAAAAAATGGTGAAATTTTGGCTCCATCGGAGATGATGGANACAATCACAATCACAATCACAATCACAATCACAATCACAATCACAATCACAATCACAATCACAATCACAATCACAATCACAATCACAATCACAATCACAATCACAATCACAATCACAATCACAATCACAATCACAATCATAATCATAATCATAATCATAATAAAATGCTGAATGTTATAGTAACGCTACTCGTATATTACATCTGTTAGTGCAGATAGCATAATTAGATTACAGGTGTTAGTTAAGATAGTAAAGTTAGAATAGTACACTGCTAGAATAGTTGTGAAGGGTATAGCAAGACAAAGATTTGGACATGCTAAGGAGAATATTTCTGCATATATTGTTTGTTGTATCATTCATTCAAGTGGGAGAAACACATACATCTTTGATTCTCTTCCTCAGAGTCATGCTAGAAAACCACTAGGTTTGACACCAAGTGTTTCAGTCATTGTCTGTGGGAGGATGAGGCAAGTAGGCAGTGCTCTTGAACAGGACTGCACATCATTCTGCTATTGGACCTCTAGTTGGAGGTGCATTCTAGTAGACAGGGCCCTTGATCATCCATTCTCAGTAAGTTCATCGATAGGAACAAGAAGTTCAGCATCGTCATCATCATTCATCTTCTCACTCGCATTTTTGGGAGGAAATCCAGGAACTGTGACGGTGTAGGAAGAGCAGAGTATTGAGCACTAACACTGTTTGGTTCAACAATTTTGGAAGGAAAAGAAAAGAAAATGATTTTCTCTCATTTTCCTCACCAAAATGGGAGGAATTTGGTTTTCCCTCAACTTAGCACATTTGTCTTCTCATTTTTCTTTTCCTTAGCACATTTCCTCTCTAACGAAACTTGAAAAACTGTTTCCACTTCATTTTCTTTTCTTTTCCCTTTCAAATTCCTTGAACCAAACATAGTGTAAGAGTAGATTCGTATAACTTCGTAAGGAGTTCTATTTTTGGAACGTGTTGTACTCTATTCTTATCAATTAACACGATAGCACTCTTTTGTTCATATTTCTTCATTCTTTCTTTTTTATCCGTCCCAAAATTATCTAATCTCAAACTATTTCCTTTTAGGAAAAAGATTCTTTGGTTAATATTGTTTCACTCCCAAAATAAAAGTTAATGAAGGGACGAAGGAGTAGCTTGGTTTGTAAATGAATTAGACGGTTAGACCTTAGCCATCAAGGAGGCGTAAGATTATCAAAGGCACCGCCTTGGGGAGAGCACTACTTTGGGTGCCTTGACCAGAAGTTTGAAGTGCACATGGGTAGAAGTTTCAATTTTTTTCCCTAACTACTCCATGTGGATTTTATTGTCCACTTTTTATTTGGGACATCTGGAATTAGTTGTTCACTTGCAATATATAGTAAAAATTATTGTGAATGATAAAAAAAGCCCATATAGAGCATATTATCATTGTTCCCATCAATGAAGGACAGGACAATTTCAAGGTTTTTTGTTACTTTACCCTCATTCATCGTTCCATAAACTTGAAATATTCAGAAAATGGAAAACAAAATGGCTGAGTTAGCCTTTGGAAAAGGCACATATAATACTTAAGTTTTTAACAGCAAAAAGATGGTTATTTAACGAAATGGCTGGGTTAGCCTTTGGGTAAGGCACAAATAATACTGAAGTTATTAACAGCAAACATGGATCCTAATTTTTACTTAACAAGTGGTGCGGGGTGGCGTGGGGACTTTTTGAAGGTTCCGGGAGGTGTAGAAGATTGGTTGGCAGGTTGAATTACCTAAAAGTAATGCAGCCAAACATCTCATATGCAGTTACTCCAGTTAGTGTTGTAAGTTAATAGCTCATCTCTAAAAAGTGATAATTGGTGTGATGTAGAACATATTGTGTGCTTTTGAAGGAATCACCAATGATATCCATAATGGAATTAGACTGGTTTGTGAATGCTGGGTAGACTAAAGATGACCGACATTCTACAACTAGTTAAATGTGTCCTTTTGGTGGAAATCAGATGTCATAAAAATAAAAACAAGACATCTTGATCGATTACAAAAGTATGTCATCATGTGATGACACAATCTGAATGTGAATACTGAATAATTTGGAGACAATGACTGAATTAAATTGGAATCAAAACACCAATGGCTGCAAAACTACAGTGTGTTAATCAAGAAACGGCACACATTGGATGAAACCCAGTCTTTCACGAGAGAACTCATTTTGTTCAAGAAAACATCAAGAGGAGTAAAATTTCAACTGTATATATGAAGACCGAAGAACAATTAGGAGACTTATTTACTGAAGCACTAAGAAAGACTCAAACTCCCGGTGACATAGGTCAAAACCCTTGCATTCTCCAGACGTGCAAGGTGATAGCAGAGCCACCATCAGCCACGTACCCATCATTGAGTGATCGTCTTCCACGATTTCTTTCGCGTCCCTCCTCCCAACTTCATCTGGAGGAACCAATCGCAACGGCGCCCTCCATTCTCCTCCATTGCGGTCGTTCAATGGCGCGATGGCCATGGAAAAAGCCATCCCCTCAAACGGTTTCTGAATCATTCCTCCACCATTGTTAAGCTAAATGCCCATTCAGCCATGAACAGTAACCTCCTCCTCTGTGGTCGCGCTCATCTTCCCCTCCGGTGTCAAAGCCACTTTCTTCCAGTTCAATCGTCACCTTCGCGACAATCCGCCCTCCGACGACATTTCATAACCTCAAGCCCTCAACAGAGCCGGAGACAAAGGTCCTTGCACTAGGACTTGCAGATCCGATTTCACCGGAGCCGCCGCACTCCCCAGACGATCACCGCCATGTCTTCTCTTCCTCAATTCAGTGGATGGGCAGCTTGATCGTTCCAGAGACTTCACATGTAATTCTCCCAAGTGAGAGCTTGTGTGTTCAATCACCAGTGGGGACAATACCTCTACAGGCTTTATTAGGTTGAGAATGTATGAAAAGATACTACCTTGTAATAGAGTTATTAGAGTTCAAAAAAATGATCAGAATGGGATCCCCTCCCCGTAGGATGTGGAGAGTTATTTATAGAACCAGCTAGGGTTTGGTACACAGGACCAAATTTGCATACAATAAGTCATGGGCCGGGCCAGGCTGGGCTGCCCCTACAATTACCACCTACTATACCCCCCTTGTCCATGTGGCCGAGGACGACTACCTCATCCGAGCACACACATCTCCAGCCAAGTGCAAGGCCGGCTCCATGGGGCCGACTTCAAGGTCTCCATGGACGAGCTTGGGCCGCTAATTCGGGCCTCAGTCTTAGGCTCTAAGTCATCTCTTATGGGCCGGATACCTACGGTCCAGGGTATCCATCATATACATTCTTTATTCTCCAGTAACACTGTAAAACTACGTACACTATGAAAGTAGGAAGACCGAACTGATTTGCCATAGCAAATAGTACCTGCAACTGATTGCCGAAATGTTCTTCCAACATTGTGCTAGCATTGTCTGTCTTTCCCATATGCAGTGGGACTAGAGGAGATGCCCAGACTGTAATGTATATAGAATCAACTGATAATTCTTCTACATCAAGCCTCATGAGCCCACCAACGTGAACTGAATATCCTACCTACCAAAACCAGATAATGAAAACATGTATGAGTACTAAAAGTATGTAACGCAAACTGTTAGTCTATAATTAGATGGAAATTGGCTGCTTGTGAATCTTTGTCAAGCAGAAGAGAGACTAAACACAAGATAATCCTTCCATATCTTCACTCTTCTTACACCCTTCACACGGATGAGGAATGAAGGCAAGGGATTAGTAATTAAATCCCACGATTATAAATCAGAAGAGAAATATGTTGGGGTGATTAGTTTTCCCTTAAATTGAAAGATGAACGGAAAAACTATCTACTGAAACATCAACATAAATCTTCCAGCCATCCGTACAGTGATTTCTAATAGCTATACACCCAGTACATTAAATCAGAATGAGGGGAAAAAGAAAACAGTAATAAAACAGCTGTGCGGGTAAAGGTTATCAAACCTTGATCCTGTATGTCCTAGGCTTCAACTCCTTGCACATATGAACTAGTTTCTGCTCCTCCCTAGTCAACCTTGTTGAGATCTGATGAGGATGGAGAAGGCCTGGAGTATCAAACAATTTGGCATTCTTTGGGAGTACACCTTCCACTCTCAGTATCCCCAATGTGGTCCCAGGCACAGGTGCCTCGGTCAAATGAGTCACCTTCCCACCCACACACTTACCTATTGCATTAATCAGTGTACTCTTCCCAGCATTCTGTGCGCCAACTGCCCATACATGCCCTCTTGGACCAGCCAGTGCTACCACATCATTTGCCAAGTTCTTTACCCCCCAATTCCTGACTGCACTTACCAGATGTACGCTCGTCAACTTGGTCGCACCACCCTCTCTAGCCCTTGTTCTAACCCAATGTTCAAGTCCATTAGGTGATACAGAGCTAGGTAAAAGATCAATCTTAGTTACTACCAGCACGACCCTAGGCACGTTCCCTGATTTTCCCTCCTTCCATGCTCGCGAGTTCCCTTCAATTGTCTTTGAAACCAGCTTAGCCACCGTCCTTGGAAACGACCCGTCAAAATCTGATGCATCCACCACCATCAGCACCACAGATCTCGTCCCAGTTACAGATATCAACCTCCTCCCAACTGTGTGATCAAAATCAAAAGCAGGTAACAAGTTCTCAACCCTCGGGTCTTTCACCTTCCCATAGTGTCTCAAGCTATGACACCTAGCACAAACCACCGGCTTCTCGGGGGACTTTAAAGTTGAATTTAATTCAACTTTTTCTTCACCTTTTGATTCCATCGGCTCATTTAGAAATCCTTTCTTAAGGGAATTTGATATATCTACCTCATCAACTATCGGATTTCTGTCAAAGAGTGTCTTATAATTGTGGGATTTAGTCGATGGATTGATGAAGTAACCAGGTTGCATAGAATCACTACCCTGCATGCTGACACCACAACCAGGGCAGATAAATAAGGCTTCTGAAGTGGCTTCATAATAGTTTCCATCTCTGCTGAGGAGCGAAACTGGAGAAGACTTTGCAGAGAAGGCTCGAACAAATGAGAAGGGTGTTGTTCTGGTTGAATTTTCCAAATAAATGGATTGGATGATTTGAAATTTGGGGATACAGATAGCTACCGGGTTTGTGCAAGTATAAAAAGAACAAAGCGGGAATAAGAGTTTCCTGAGCCTGGGTAGAGACAATGTTTGAACTATCATCCTCAGTGCTCTTCCACTTCAGTGAAGGATGCCCAAACAACTGCACCAAATTAAAGATGTTTTAGCTTCACCACTTTTGCTAATTCTTATTGTGTAAAGTAGAATATGTTTCACAAAATGAATGAGCATTGCATTGCAAAAGTAACAGATAATAAATTATTATTACTCTAGTTGTTTGTTCTGGAATATTATTACTTTTAGAGTACAGTCAGAATTAATAGTAATATGTGTCAATCTCATGTTTGGGCACATGATAATTGTTCTTTAGGTTCCTTTAAGAATAATACGCTTACTTTTTATGATTGACTAAAAATAAAGCAAAGATATACAAGGCTGTAACCACTCCATATTATGTCAGCTGCAGTGGTGCACTTGCATCAGAGTGAGGGTGAAATTTAGACTATGGGTATGTTTGGGTATTGGCTTTTCAGATGGCTTTTGATTGTTTTGACTAATTTTGGCTGTTTTGACCAGTCAAACAGCCAAATAGAGTGTTTGGCAAATGGCTGTTGAAGTTGGGTGTTAGAGTCCGAAAAGCCAAAATATGAAAAGCTAGGAGGAGTAGCCTTTTGAGTTGGCTGTTGGCTATTGGAGTAAAAGCATTTATTGTATAAATATTAAATAAATAAATAAATCAACAAAAAAATAAATGCGAGTAAACAAAAAAAAAACAAATAAATGAGTAAATAATAACTACTTTCTCATTCCCCAAATGAAATTCACTTAGAATTTATGAGGTAAAATATTTTATAAAAAATTATTTTATTCGAAAATTGGTACAAAACTAAAAAAGTTACATATTCAATAAATTTTACAATAAATAAAATTTGTTAAATAATCTAATACATTAAAATGGAAGGAAATGCTTGTCCTTTTTTTATTAGCAAAAGTAGGTAAACAAAAAAAATTGACTCTAGAATAGTAACCTAGAATTTCATTTGGCGGTGAAGGAAATATATATACATGTGTGTGTGTGCATTACGTATATGAATTGTATTATATTATATTGCATAGCATATTATATTTTATAAATTTTAATTCATGTTATATAATTTATATTATATTATACAAATCATATACATAAAATTAAGTTTTTAAAAATAATTACATCTACAACAACAATTTAAAAGCATCTAATTTTGCCAAACACTTTTTTGTGAACAACTAATGCAACCGACTGGTCAAAACAACTAACTTCACTAGCCATTCACACCAGCCAACACTAACAGCTAACAGCCAACCGCCAACTTCCAAGCAGGGCCTTTAAACTAAGGGGACTATTAGCATAGGTTATTGCATGCTAATTTACTAAAGGTATTTTTAGGATATACTACTATCATAGGTTTGGTAGCAAGAAAAAGACTTAATTCAAAACAATCCAGAGATGGGTATAAATGTTGGTCACAAATAACATGAGAAAGGAAGGAGCATTCCTACTTTTTAATGCCTGATTTGCCTTAGAATGAGCACCAAAATTAGAATATCTTCTAACAAAAAAGTAAAAGAGACAAATTAAACTCTCTTGAGAGGTTCAGACAACTCATAATGATCCTACCCACTTGCATTCCAGATTTCCAGGATTACTCCTATTCGTAATCGCCAAGATAATGTTTAAGATCTTTCAATACAAGCTATTTAGCTTCAAGCATGACATCTTTAATCTTTTGGTGTGCACTTGTCATGTATGCGATAAGTGGATTCATTTTAAAGAGCTATCTTTTCTTCCATATGAGTGTCTTATTGAGAACTCGCCTTGTTATGGGAGATCACAGGTTCAATCATAGTGGGGGTAATAACTCTACATGCTTAATGAGTTGAGAATGTATTAACAAATACTGCATTATAATAGAGTTATTAGTGTTCAAAAAAAGAATTCTACCAATATTGAGAACTTACATCATCTAAGCCATCCATTTTTAATCCAAAGGCGTTATTAAAAAAAACAGCAGACCCTTCCCTTCCCAACCCACTGCCGACCACCCCCAGCCATTGTACCTCAAAACGTCCCCAAGTCCAGCCTCCATCGCCGCCTCAAATTTAAGATCTAGGGTTTACTGTTGATAAAAAAAGAAACTGATGGGGGAGATTCACAACAGAAACCATCACGCATTAACTGGTCAACAAACATTGTTAGGGGGAGAACCAGGGGTCTAATGAAGTTGGTGTTACCTAAAAACGTCCCCAAGTCCAGCCTCCATCGCCGCCTCAAATTTAAGATCTAGGGTTTACTGTTGATAAAAAAAGAAACTGATGGGGGAGATTCACAACAGAAACCATCACGCATTAACTGGTCGACAAACATTGTTAGGGGGAGAACCAGGGGTCTAATGAAGTTGGTGTTTTGAGGTGGAAATATGTGATGATGAAGGGGAAATGGAGGTGCACGAAATTTTTTATGGAAAAAGGAGTTCTTTTTTTGTGTTTTTAATGGAAGAAAAGAATAAGATTAAGAAGAGAAATGGGGAGATATGAAATGGAAGAAATCAGGGATGGATAAAACCAAGTTGGTGTTAAGAGATATTACGCACTCTTATCTTAACTTGGGGTTTAAATCTAGTATTCAATTAAGATATTACACACTTAATCAAACATCTAGAACCTAAAACTCACACTTAAGATAACCACTCTTAAGATATAGAATTAGGAACTGGACTAAAATAGCATCACACTATTTTAAGAATACTCAAAGAGTAAACAAAGTTTTTAATATTCAAAGTTGTGTGTTACAATGGCTATATGGCCGAAATTTATAAGAGGAAAAGGGGGGGACACACAAATACAATGAATGCAAATACAAAGAAACTACCAAGAAACTTCCTCTCTCAAATCATGAAAATAATGACCATGTGTTTGTGTCCTCTTGGTGGGATAAAATCAGAGATAGGGGTGTGGTTTGTGGGGCTGTAATGACCATGTGTTTGTGTCCTCTTAGTGGGATAAAATCATAGATGTGGGTGTGGTTTGTGGGGCTGTAATGACCATGTGTTTGTGTCCTTTTGATGGGATAAAATCAGAGATGGGGGTGTGGTTGTGTAGGGCTGTAGTGACCATGTGTTTTATCCTTAATGGGCTGTCCTCATTGACCAAGGTCAAAGGCTCTTAAGGCTTTCATTTTGGCTCCATTTGGGGTGGTAATTTCGTGGATGGTGAAGGGGGGGACATGAGGAAAGAGGTTTGTTTGGCCAGATGCAAAATCAAGGCAAAGGGGGGATGTATTTGGCCATGGGACAAAGGGGGGTGTATCTGGTCACATTTGAATGATGCTTTGCTTGATTTGGGAGGGTGGATTCGGCCTAGGGACAAGAAAATGTGAGGGGATGATGCCTTGATGATATTACACAACAAAACAAAAGACATATCTAATCAATGTCTCCTGATTTGATTTTAATGAGCAGGTTGTGTCTTGCTTGGTAATGGGATGATTGTGGCCAGATTTTTGGGACAAAAATGGATGGGATTTCGTGGTTATGAAGTGGGGAAGAGTGGGGGAAGGCTTTATTCAATGAAGGGAATATAAAGAAAGAAAACAACACACAAAATGTTTTTGTTTTGTCTTTTTGGTCCTATTTTTGTCCAAGGCTGTAAAAATGAAGGAAAAGACTTTATTTTGGATACGAAATAGAGATAAAATACTTTTGGATGTTTTGAGATTGTTTTGGACTGAAATGGGACTGAAAGTAAACCCTCGGGTCAAACAGAGGTTGTTTTGGCCTTTCAGGTTTTAGGACCTTTGAATTCAACTAAAATGGATCATAATGTTTGAATATAAGTCCTTTGGTTTCCATGAGGGTGTGGGACGTGGGAGAGGGAATGATAGGGCCGGGCTCGGGTATATCAAACATGGCCTTTGAATTTTTGTGCGTATACCAAAAGCAGTAATGTATCAGGCTAGTGTTCAACCCAACACTGGGGATCCTAGGTGATGGGGTTCATCCTTATGAAATTGGACAGACTAGACTGGGCATGGCGTGAGAGTCACATGGCCTAATTGCACCTGTATAAGGCGACACTAATGCATACATAAATAAAGACACCCACAAAAGTATACCTGAGTACTCCCTTTGTCCAATTGCCAAGTCCCAATGTTTTTTCCCAACCACTACTCAATGTCTTTATTCACTTATTTTGGTAACATTTTCCGAACCCCTTGTAGGTTCATCCAACACATTCCAGTATTTTTTAATTTCTCTCTATCTTTTTAACTTCTCTTTCTTCCAACTTATTTCAATTTCTTTCAATTCTTTCAAGTTTTTTCAACTCCTTCAGATTCTTCTAGCTCCCTCCAATTCTTTTAAACAATAACTTAAAAATTATTTAAGTGCATTTTCCATATCATTCTTATTTTAATTTGTATTATTATTATTATTACTATTATTATTAGTACTACTAAATGAAAACAAATGAACATTGTGTAACTTGTAAATACACATATGAAAAATACGGAGCATATAATAACACTGTATGTTCAGATTTATAATATAGAAACTCTAAAATACCGAGGCAGATCTAGGATTTTGTAGCCGCAGGGTACCAAATTCCCGATTTTCCAACCGGAGTTAGATCATAATTTCTAACAATAAACAAAAAATTTCCTCAAAATAAAAAATATATACGGAGTATTTTCTATTTGAATTTTAGTTATTTCTAAAAATATTTTTGCATTGTAATTTCTAATTTAAGAAATAAAAATTATTTACACAGTTTAGTTTTACAATTTAACACAAAACAATGCTATAAGGAAAGATAACCATAAAGATAAACTCAAATTAAATGCAAAACAATTAAACAAATCACATATTAAATCCTAAAAATAAAAAATTATTTGTAAATAATAATTACTTGCCCTTTAGTTGGAGAAGTGGTGGTGCCGTGGTGGCTAGAGGCGGCAACGCAGTGGCAAATTATCCCCGGCAGAGTCCAGATGCGGCTCTAGACCAACTGACCCACGACCTAGGGTTCTGTTTCTGAGTTCCGGGAGGCAATGCGGCGACCTGCGTACAGTGGCGGACCCAAAACTAATCATGGGTACCATTTTAAAATGTTCATATCAAACCGTCAAATTTTTAACATTACATAAAAATACTCTGTAATATATAACATCAAATTTTACATATATCATAGAAATCACAAATTTAAAATAGTCTTACATTGCAAATAAAATGCAAAATACATCTTACAATTGATAACGTTTAGTTTTCATGTTTTGAAAGCGATTTATTATTTTATTATTGCTAATAGTAGCGAAGACATCTCTCTATATGTCACTAGGCAATCATTTAACCATTGGTCACAAATTTTGTTTTGAACATCATTCATCACAAACTTCATTGCTGAAAAAGCATGTTCAACACTACAACGAATTTCATCTTGTACATTTGGATGATAATCGATAATTCTCTTTTTTAATCCTCAATCAACCTCTAATTATTCAAAATCTAATTTTTTTCCCCTTTCGTCAATATGTGGTTCCAGTGGATGATTCAAAGATGATGAAGCATTTGAATTCAAATTTGATGGATGCTCACTCAATTCTTTCTCTTTAAATCTTGGTGTCATTTTAAAATACCTTTCCATATATTGAAATTCAAACATATTCACAAATAACAAGTTCATAAGAATAAATGAAAAAATTCAAAAAGAACAAAGAACAAAACCAAATACCCAATTCGCATTCAATTATGTCAAAAAAAAACCTGGCACTGGAAGATTGACGATCTGATTGGAGTTGTAGAGGCCAGCGTGCAGGCGGCAGAGGACGGGGGTCGGGGGTCGGCAACTCGGTGGCGTTGAGGTCGGCGGTCCGGCGGCGTTGACGGACTTGGAATCGGCTAATGCAGAGGCTTGTGGCAGGGTGAATGACTAAATTTTAGTTTTTTATGGGGTTTAATCAATTGCGAGTAGCAATTTTTCAGACTTCAAAAAACTAGAGGTATTGAATATGGATTTTTAAAAGTTTATAAAAATCTAGATGTATTTAATAAAGATTTTTAAAGAAGATTTTCTTAAGTCTTTAAAAATCTTGAGATATTCAATAAGGCAAATACTTACATGGATTTTTTAAAGTCTTTAAAAAACTTGAAATATTATCTTCCTTTCTTTGGTCTTCTCTGTTCATCTAAATTTTGCTTCTCTTACAATGATTCATCTTGGTTTTATTTTTTCTCACGTTTCCTCTCTTTTTTAGGATGGATTCAAATGTTATTTGTCCAAGATCATCAATTGTTTTTCCCAATCCAGATTCTAATTGCGATGTTGTTCATGGTAATGAATCTCTTATTTTAGGTAATTTTCGTTTAAGTTTATAAATTTGACTTTAATTGATTGCGATTTGGTTTCTTCCAAAGGATTTTTTATCTGCACTATACTTCTTTTCACCTAATGTTATTATTATCCTATAATACGACTTAAATTTTTGTTCATAGGCTTGAATATTTGTCTGTTTAGTGCACACTAAATATTTTTCATGTATACAATGGAGTATTATTGATGCGGATGCTTTGGAGATCTTTAGTTCTTCTATTGATTCTGCTGTTATTGATGATAGTTCTCTTTTTGTTGAGAGTGTTGTTGGTAGATCTTTATTGAAAGATGTTTTAACTAAAATCTGTTTCTGAAGCATTCTCTTTGTAAAATGGTTATGCACAAAAGAATAGGTTTTGGCGTTAGGTTGAGCAAGTCCAGATTTAATTGTGCTAAAAAGGTAGTGATGGATACCCCGAAATGGGGGTATCCAACCCAACAAAATGAGCGGCCCAACAAGGCCCAATAGATCGAACGATTCATGCGTGCTCGGCTAAGTAGAACTTAAGAAGAAATCAATGTCTCAAGGTGACAACCTGCAACACCCCGGCCCCTACCCTGGCCGTAAGATTCCGCTCATAGAATTGTAGACTGGCCCCACAAATTAACACAAGTCTTTCCCGCACACTTTGTCATCACTCGTGCGTAGCTCTCGAAAAGAAGATGCACCTTTGGTTTGAATAGTACTATCAATCCTTTTGAGCTTTTCTCATTCCCATCTTAATAGGGGTGTTCATCGGTCCAAGACCGGACCGGACCGAAGACTGAACTTATTAAAATCTAGGACGGAAGACTAAACCCAAATTTATTCGGGTTTGGACCAGACCAGACGGAAATACTTAGGACCGAATCGGTCCAGACCGATTGGACCGAAAAAAAATGTTTTTTTAATTATTTTGATCAATTAAATATAATTTAGGTTTTGATGGTTTGTCTTTCAAAAAAATATTTTAGGCTTTTTATTTTGTAGCGTACAAATAGGAAAAGAAATAGACAACCTAAAAATAGATACAGAACATTAACTACTTCTATGTGAATAATAACAACTAAAAGTAGAGTTTATGTATTTAGGTAGGGTCTTTTAGGTCTAATAGGGTTATTAGGTCCATTCGGTCCAATCGGTCTGGACCTAAATCCTTTCGGGTTTGGACCGGACCAAAACCCGAACTACTAGATTTTTTGGACCGAAGATTGACCCGAAATCCATTCGGTCCGGGTTCGGTCTGGACAAACAGTCCGGTTTGGTCAGTTTTTTCGGTCCAGACCTAAACGTGAACAACCCTACATCTTAATACGGGATATTACATTTACCCCCACTTAGGAATGCAATGTCCTCGTTGCATCCTTTTTTTAAACCCTTAGATCTTCTTCGCTAGGTCTGGTTCGGTCGGTTTTTTTGGTCCAAACCAAAACGTGAACAACCCTACATCTTAATACGGGGTATTACATTCACCCCCACTTAGGAATGCAATGTCCTCGTTGCATCCTTTTTTAAACGCTTAGATCTTCTCCGCTAGGTGAACTAAGCTCTTTTGGCCTGTCACCGACGCAAGGTTGCTCTGATACCATTTGTAACACCACGGCCCCCACCCTGGCCGTAAGAATCCGCTCATAAAATTCTAGGTGATGAGCTCTTGAAAAGAAGATGCACCTTCTTGGTATGAGTACTACCATTAATCCTTTTGAGCTCTTCCCATTCCCATCTTAATACGGGGTATTACAGAACCGCATTTGGATACATATCCTCGCTCATCCCAGAAACAGCTACTCCGCCTCGGGACCAACCTAGTCAGACCTCTATGGACGACCTCCAATAGCTAAGCATGCATGCTCAGCCTCGGCCGCCAGCTACAGGTTAGGGTCCACTATGGTATGGTGGCCTGCATACCTTGTCCAATCGACGGGCCCGTAATTAGACACCCTAAAACACTTGTCTGTCAGATTAATTGTAGCCGCCCTATTGTCACCCATCATTTGTAGCAACCCTAGCTTGCAATCATATTGTTGGCACCGTTAGTCGAACGGCTGGATCTTGATGGGCCCTGTCCGTTAGGCCATAGACTAACGATCGGGAGGCCCAATTGTATTTGGTATAAATTTCCTCTCCGAGAGGGGGAGAAAGACGTTCATTCTTACGATCAAGCTAATCTACTTTTCTCGACTCTTGCAACTTAACGCACTCAATACTCGTTTGATACTCTTCTACCTAGTCTTCTAGGTCCTGGGTTCTAAAACCCAACATTGGTGCTTTCGTTGAGAGTGTCGAACACATCAAACATGCTCCGAAAATGGTAGGATCAATAAGAGTCACTAGGTCATCCGCTGCCGCCAATGGTGGTGGTATCAAAATGACTGTGATGGCACCGACGAATACGTGCCAAGATGACCTTGACATCAACCTCAATGATGTCACTAGCCAGCACACAGCTGACCTCTATCATCGCATCCTACGGCGGCATACGATAGATGGAGAGGGCCTCCGATAGCCCATCCAGCAAGTATCGACCCTAGGAACTGAAATGATGGCCTCACAGCCTGGGGGAATGACCCATGGCGGAGGAGTGGTATTGCCAGGCGATTTCAGTTCATCGCTCTTCTAGTTTTGTAACACCCCAATCCGTATAACCCGGAATTACACGAATTAAGGTGAAACGAGAGTTAAATAAAAATTTCACTTGACATTTAAAAATGACAATTACTTATAAATATTAAATTTACAGACTCTGGATCGCGACCCATTTAAAAAAATATTTTCAGAGTAATGCGGAAGTACAATAATAATCAAATCATGACACATTTAAAAATCTGATGATCAACATTTGCCTGCCATCCTTGCATCTCCTCTGACTCAATGCCCTCCGGGAAAGGTTCCATCATTGTCTTCTTGTTACCTACGTGTAGTCAACGAAAAAATACAAACTACACGCTCAGCGAAACCGCTGAGTGGTACCACGCTAGAATTGTAGAATAATTCATAGACATATACATTTACATATATATGTCCAAAAAAAGTATAATAATAATATTCATAATATGGCACATTATATCATATGGACAATTTGATGAATCATGATGATAAATATTTAATGATAATTACATGATGGCACAATAAATCAATTTGCTTGTGAGGATGATTACATGATACTCATATAATCCATATATACTTGTTCTTGATGATGATTACATGACATCTATGTAATTGATGTACTTGATGATGATAACATGATGCGTAATTGATGTCACACATA